GTGCGCCACCATGACCTGCTAATTTTTTATATATTTTTAGTTGGCCAATATTTTCTTTCTATTTTTAGTAGTAGATGGGGTCTCGCCTCTTGCTCAGGATGGTTTTGAACTCCTGACCTTGGCCCTCCTCTCCTTGGCCTCCCAGAGTGCTAGGATAAGGCTGAGCCATTGTGCTGTGCTCGGTCTTGGCTTTTATTATATATTGCTAAAAACTTTAAAAGGCAGGAAAGACAGAGATTCTTAAAATTCTATGATTATAAAAACCAATAGGGCTCAGTGATTGAAGATGAAAGAAATAAGCAAAAAATTACTCTAATATTTTGAGTTTGGGTAACCTGGGATATGTTTTGATTGATTTATTTAATAAATATTTATTGGATCCCAACTATGTGCCAAGTGTTGTGGTATTTACTGGCATTATTCTCTTGTGAAATCCTCACTACTAACTCTATGAGATAGGTACTACCATTATCCCAATTTTACAGATAAGGAAATTGAGACAGAGAAGTTAAAAATGAATGATATAAGAAAATTCAGAGAAACACTTATTTTGGGAAGTGTAAATAGGTAGGTGGACAGGCAGATAGTTATAGAATCTATGCCTATTCATATATTTAGAAAGAGACATATAGAATCAATGTATATTCATATATAGAAAGAGATAACTATTGAGAAGGTGTTTGAATGGCCAAGGTTCTAGACACGAGTCATTTGTAGAAAATGAATAGTTAAAACTATAAGAATAGGCCGGGCACGGTGGCTCACGCCTATAATCCTAGCACTCTGGGAGGCCGAGGCGGGCGGATTGCTCAAGGTCAGGAGTTCAAAACCAGCCTGAGCAAGAGCGAGACCCCGTCTCTACTATAAATAGAAAGAAATTAATTGGCCAACTGATATATATATGTAAAAAATTAGCCGGGCATGGTGGCGCATGCCTGTAGTCCCAGCTACTCGGGAGGCTGAGGCAGAAGGATCACTCAAGCCCAGGAGTTTGAGGTTGCTGTGAGCTAGGCTGACGCCACGGCACTCACTCTAGCCTGGGCAACAAAGCGAGACTCTGTCTCAAAAAAAAAAAAAAAAAAAAATATACTTTACTTAGTAACTGTTACAATAAACAGACAAAAAAATTAGAGAAAGATATAGAAAATCTAAACATGATTAATAACTTGCACTAATGGGCATATATGTAACTCCTTACCCAACAACTTAATAGACTTTCTTTTTAAACACACATGGACCATTTATTAACATTTATCAAATACGGCATCATAAGGTAAATTCAAAAGACTAGAATCATATAAAGCTATTCTGTCTAGTATGGTAGCCATTAGCCATATGTGGCCATTTGAATTTATTAAGATTAAATAAAATTGAAAATCCCATTGCTCAGTTGCACTAGCCACATTGCAAGCACTCACTAGCCACATAGTGGCAACTGTATTGGACAACACTGATATAGAACGTTTCCTTCACTGAAGAAAATCCTGATATAAGTATGTTCTCTGACCATGGTGTAATTACAGTAGAAATCAATAATAAAAAGATAACTAAAAAGTTCATCCTATTTTGGGGAAAAGGATTTATACTTCTAAATACCCATGGGTGAAAAGAAGAAATCTTAAGATAAATTACAAAATATTTTGAACTAAACGAAAATGGAAAACATGTATCAGTACTTGTCGTGTGTAATTTATATTAAAGATGTTGATAGCCATATTCTCACATAAAGTACTTCAAATGGTAGGCAATTAAGATTAAGAATATCAGAGGACATTCAAGGTAAACTGTTGAAAAGAAGCCTTAGCAATGATGCCAGAACAACTGATCTTAAAAGAGTATAAAAATAATGAAAGAAGCAGTAATGAAAGACAAAGTGAGGAGGAGAAATCTAATATTTTCTTTCTATTGGAACAGAAAATGGGCCTAACAAAAATTCACTTCTACATTTTGTACTTTAAAAACAACAGGATTGACTGCTAATGGGTATAGGTTTTTTTTTTGAGATGAAATGTTCTAAAATTAGATTATGGTGCTGATTGTACAACCCTGTGAATATACTACAAAACATTGCATTGTATACTTTAAATGAGTGAATTGCATGGTATGTAAATTATATCTCAATAAAGCTGTAAAAGGAGAATAGGATATTTTCTCTTCAATTTATAAAAGATTTTCAATAATATATTCTTAAATAATAAGTCTCAAAATGGAATGGATTTTTAATAAACTCTTAAGTCAGACTGCTTCTCACCACCCACAAGAAAACATATCCTTGTGAGATGCAACTAGAGCTATATTTAGAGCTATAATTTTTAACCTTACATGCAAATATTAGAAAAAAAAGAAGAAAAATGTCCAGCATGATGGTTCACTCCTGTAATCCCAGCACTTTGGGAGGCTGAGGCAGGAGGATCACTTGAGGCCAGGAGTTCAAGACCAGTCTGAATAACATAGTGAGATCGCATCTCTACAATAAAATAGAAAAATTAGCCAGGCATGGTGGTACACACCTGTAGTCCCAGCTACTTGGGAGGCTAAGGCAGGGGGACTGCTTGAGCCCAGGAGTTTGAGGCTGCTGTGAGTCATGATGATGCCATTGCGCTCACTCTAGCCTGGGCAGCGGAGTGAGACTGTCTCAAAACAAAAGAAAAAAACTTGAATGGGCACTTCACAAGCAAATATCCAAAAGGCTAATAAATAGGGAAATATATTTTAAAACCACAATGAGAAACCATTACACACAAATCAGATTGAAAATTTTTAAAAGTCTGACAATACCTAGGGTGTAGAACAATGAAAACTTTTATACTCTGCTAGTAGTAGTATAAATTCACACAATGATTTCTGAAAACTGTTTGGCATTAGGTGAATGGTGGATACCAGTTTAATGAGATGAAGAAGACTGGAGAGAAAACTGGTTTTGGGGGGAAAATGTGTGAGGGGGACAAAAATCAATTCTGTTTTTATGCTATAGCCTTCATTGTGTTACACAAAGTAAGCAAACAGCAAAAGAGACACATATGCCTGTCCCAGGCCTTGCTAGAAATGCCTTTTAGTTCCTAGGCCTTTAACTAGTACTTAAGGCTGGTTACATCTGGATATATACCCTAGAAACTCTTGTCCATACATGAGGAGGTATGTACTAGAGTGTTCACTGTAGTATCATTTATGTATAAAAAATGGGAAGCAATCTAGAATTCCATCAACAAGAGAAAGGGCTGAAAACTTATGTTCAAATAAATTTTGGTATATTCATACCATGGAATACTATTCAGCATTTGAAACTAATAAACTAAACAAACTAGAACTAGTTAATAGCCATCATGCTGAAAAACATGCTGAATTTAAAAGGGCTGTAGAATGATAATACAGTGTGATGCCATTGATATAAAGTTTGAAAAATGTAAAACACTACTATAAACCATTTATAAGTCATACATATAATATGCAAATTTATTTAATAGTAAGGAGGAGGAGATAAGTGGAATCGTGGAATGCTTGGGGGGGCTTCAAATGTAGCAATTTTGTTTTTCTTTTTTTTTTTGAGACAGAGTCTCACTCTGTTGCCCTGGCTAGATTGCCGTGGCGTCAGCCTAGCTCACAGCAACCTCAAATTCCTGGGCTCAAGTGATCATTCTGCCTCAGCCCCCCAGTAGCTAGGACTACAGGCATGCACCACCATGCCTGGCTAATTTTTTCTGTATATTTTTAGTTGTCCAGTTAATTTCTTTCTATTTTTAGTAGAGATGAGGTCTCGCTCTTGCTCAGGCTGGTCTTGAACTCCTGACCTCAAGCAATCCTGCAGCCTCGGCCTTCCAGAGTGCTAGGATTACAGGCGTGAGCAAATGTAGCAATTTTTTTTTTTTTTTAGACAGAGTCTCGCTTTGTTGCCCAGGCTAGAGTGAGTGCCATGGCATCAGTCTAGCTCACAGCAACCTCAAACTCCTGGGCTCAAGCAATCCTATTGCCTCAGCCTCCCGAGTAGCTGGGACTACAGGCATGCACCACCATGCCGGCTAATTTTCTCTCTATATATTAGTTGGCCAATTAATTTCTTTTTATTTATAGTAGAGACGGGGGTCTCGCTGTTGCTCAGGCTGGTTTTGAACTCCTGACCTTGAGCAATCCGCCCGCCTCGGCCTCCCAGAGTGCTAGGATTACAGGCTTGAGCCACCGCACCCGGCCCAAATGTAGCAATTTTAAGAAAAGTAAAATATCAGGAACAAATACGGTAAACTTTTAAGATTTGATAAAGCTAAGTTGTACCTCCATACTTTTCTGAGTGTATGAAATTTGACAATTTAAATATTGAGGAAAATACTTATTTGATTGGGGGAATACTCACATTCTCGAAAAAGACTTAATTTGGTCATTACTTCCTCTTTGAAAAGCTGAATGACCTGCTCAACAATCTTTTGACTTTGGTTCTCGCCCAGGGCATACAGATATTTCTCCAGAAGAGGGACATTTTTCAGATTCCAGATGAAGTTCTCCCGATGAAGAATATTTAACTTTGGGTGATGGAATTTCTAAATCAAAAGAAACAAACTTAGTTTCTTGACAGTTAGAGCAACCACCGCTGAGAGACCTGCCGAGTACCAGAAGACTACCCGCTCCCAAGGGCCTGGGAATGCCTGAAGGAGACAGCTGGCATTCTCCCATGGTCACTGACTTGCCCATTTACATTAATCCACAAAAAATAGTAAGACATTCATATTTGTACAGGACCTCATAGTCTGGGGAGCACATTCCATCTCACTTGATCCTCATGATTGTGTGAAGATATACACAGCTTACAGAGGAATTAGAGGCAGCTCTAAAGAACTCTATTATCACCCACATAATCTGACCTGCCCCTTGTTACCTCTCTGGGTTCATCTTCTACTACCTGTGCTCCCTCTACTTCAACCGCACTGGCCTCCCAGCTGTTCAAGGAACATGCCGGGTGTGTTCCTACCTCACAGCCTTTTGCATCTGCTGTTTCCTCCTCCCAGGATGCTGTTCTCCAGGTGTCCACATGGTCAGTGCCCTCATTTCCACCAGGTCTTTACTTATTCATAAAATACCTTTTCTATGCAAGTTTCCTGCCCACTCCATCTAGAATTTGATCCCTTTCTCTAGTATTTTGTATCCCTCTTCTCTGCTTATTTCTTCTACTTAGCAGTTACATTACTTTAACATTTGCCATAATTCACTAACTTATTTTACTGTCTATCCTTACTAGAATATTAGCTCCATGAGGAGCAAGGTCTTTGTTTTTGTCTGTTTTGTTCACTGTCATACTCCCACACCTAGAACAGTGTCTGGTACATCAAAGGCAGGCTCAAGCCACATTTGCTCAATAAATGGATGTTCTTAGAATAAAAAGTTCTGGAATTGTAAGGGCCTTTAGACTTTGACCACTTGAGGGATAACAACTTATTAGTATGGAACTCAGGGAGGACATGAGTCTTCTGATTTATAGTTCAGACCTCTTTCATAGAGTGAGTGCTAGAAGGTGCTTTGGTGATCACCCAATGAAATATTTTTCAAATCTTTCAAATATTTTTGACCATGACTTGCAGTAAAAAAAACACACACAAAAAAACAAAACAAAACATATATATATATCATAGGTTAAGCACATGGCTCACGCCTGTAATCCCAGCACTTTGGGAAGCCAAGGTGGGAGGACTGCTTGAATCTAGAACTTTAAGACCAGCCTGGGCAACATAGTAAGACCCTGACTCTACAAAAAAATGAAAAAATTAGCCAGTCATGGTGATGGACATCTGTAGTCCCAGCTACTTGGGAGGCTGATGTGGGAGGACTGCCTGAGCCCAGGAGTTTTAGGTTGCAATGAGCTATGATCATGCCATTACACTCCAGCCTGGGTGACAGAGTGAGACCTGATCTCTTTAAAAAAAAAAATACACACACACACACATACACACACACACACATACGCATATATATACACATGTAAAATATATATATTATAAGAAAAAGAAACCTCAGCTGGGCATGGTGGCACACCCCTGTAATCCTAGCATTCTGGGAGGCCAAGGCAGGAAGATTACTTGAGGCCAGGAGTCTGAGACCAGTCTGAGCAAGAGCCAGACCCTGTCTCTATAGAAAATAGAAAAATTAGCCAGGCATCATGGCATGTACCTATAGTCTCAGCTACTTGGGAGGCTGAAGGGAGAGAATCACTTGAGCCCAGGAGTTTAGGGTTATAGTGAGCTACGATGACACTACTGTACTCTAGCCTGGGCAACAGAGTAAGACTCTGTCTCAAAAATAAAATAAAATAAAAATAAAAAAGTCTCAGTAAACAGTACTTAGACCATTGTATGAGACATATTCTGGTGTTTTATATTCTATTTCTTTTTTTAAAAAGTTGCTCTAAATGATCCTCTAAATTGGTTTCGACACCTACTATCACAACCTGAGGTTTGAAAACCTTCCCCTGATGCTTGTGATATCACTAGCATATCCTTGCTACGTGGTCATGTAGCCTCTGTTCGAGTACATCCTGTGGGAGGTACTTTTCATCTTTATTGAGATAGCTCTGTGTTCTTCCTTTTGCTGAGTCAAAATTTGCCTCTGCGATAGTGTCTATGCCACTGGTTCCAACTGTGACCTCTGGGGCCATTTGGAACAGGATTAGTCCTCCAGATTTTTTAAGACAGCATTCCTGTTCCCTTGGAGTCTTCTCTTCTGCCGATTAAACCTTTCTAGTTCCTTCAACAATTCCTCATGTGACAAGCTTTTGAATTTCCATACTATCTTGTATGTTAAATGCTCCTAGGATCACAAAAAATACTCTGCATGGTAAGCACTGAAAACACTGTTAGGAGCTGTTACTTTTGGAGAGTAGGATTGTGACTAGGAACGGAGATGACGGTAGAGAGAAATAAATTTTCATTCTACAACTTTCAATATTGTTTAAAATTTTTACCATGCATATATATTACTTTGTTTTTATTTTTTATTTTTTGAGACAGGGTCTCACTTTGTCACCCAGGCTTGAGTACAGTGGTGTCATCATAGCTCACAGCAACCTCAAACTTCTGGGCTCAAGTGAACCTCCTGCCTCAGCCTCCCAAGAAGCCAGGACTACAGAAGTAAGCCACCTTGCCTGGCTAATTTAAAAAAAAAATTTTTTTTAAAGAAATGAGTTCTTGCTATGTTGCCCAGGCTGGTCTTGAACTCCTGGGCTAAAGCAATCCTCTTGTGTTGGTGTCCCAAAGTGCTGGGATTACAGGTATGAGCCACTGCACCTGGATTTTACTGTTATTTATTTATTTTTGAGACAGAATCTCACTTTGTTGCCTGGGCTAGAGTGCTGTGGCATCAGCCTAGCTCACAGCAACCTCAAACTCCTGGGCTCAAACAATCCTCCTGCCTCAGCCTCCCAAGTAGCTGGGACTACAGGCATATACCACCATGCCCAGCTAATTTTTTCTATATATATTAGTTGGCCAATTAATTTCTTTCTATTTATAGTAGAGACGGGGTCTTGCTCTTGCTCAGGCTGGTTTCGAACTCCTGATCTCGAGCAATCCATCTGCCTCGGCCTCCCAAAGTGCTTGCCTACTTTTATTTTTAAAGAAAGTAAAATCTAACACTCTTGTTGGGTTTCCAGTGGAACAACAGTCTATTCAGGGAAGGCTCTGAGTCAGCTTCTGAAATGATGGCTCTATTAACCCAGGCACCCACAGAAGAATAGTTCACTGTAGTATTGGAGTAATGGAAAAACAGTGGAGTTGACTCAGACAGATCTAGGTTTCAACTGGCTCTACTGCTTATAAGCAGGCCATTTAACATCTCAGATCTTACTTTCCTTAGCAGTAAAATTAACATATTAATACCAACCTTACAGTCATTTGTGGAATGAAGACATGAAATAAAGACCTCATATAGAGCCGATTCTACTAAGTGAAGTATCACAAGAATGGAAAAACAAGCACCACATGTACTCACCATCAAATTGGTACTAACTGATCAATACTTACGTGCACATATAGTAGTAACATTCATCAGGTGTCAGGCAGGTGGGAGGGGGAGGAGGGGATGAGTAAATTCACACCTAATGGGTGTAGTGTGCACCATCTGGGGGATGGACATGATTGTAGCTCTGACTTGGGTAGGGCAAAAGCAATATTTGTAACCTAAACATGCATACCCTGTAATATGCTGAAGTTAAAAAAATGAATTAAAGGCACCCAGATTGGGGGAAAAGAAGACCTAATATATATAGTCACTCAATAAATGTTTGTTAAATATCAACATTGCACTTGATCTGCCTGACTTTTCTGGCCTTTCTATCCTTTTGGCTCCTTGGTGCACCAACCTGAATTCTGACAGTTTAATCAGTGCTCTTTATCAGTCTATCTCAACCCCCCTCTTGCTAGCTTCCTACTCTCTCCCCCCAACCCCAGCTCCCATTCCCATGCACCTTGCTTCCTCTAGTACAAAGCTCTGAAAACAATCATATTCATAAGCCCCCTCTATATTTTCTTCTTTCTCAAGGTTAAATGAATCTTCTGAGTTTGACTTCCAGCCCATCTGTGGACCAAGCAGCAACCAAATTCCAGTATGGACTAGTTGGTTCCTTCACTTGTGAATGCTTCAGTTCTGGCCTCTACAATCTCCTATCTATCCTGGATCCCCTAGGCCTACCCAGCTGCTAGAAGCTTCAATGGCCCAACCATGTCCCCAGCAGAGCAGTCACAACCTCTGCCATGTCTACAGAAGGGATGGAGAACCTGCGGCCTTGGGGCCACATGTGGCCTTCTGCATCCTTGAGCGAGGCCTTTTGACTGAATCCAAATTTTACAGGACCAATTTGTTCTGTGAAGTTTGGATTCAGCTGAGGGGCTGCACTTGGGGATCTGGAGGGCCACATGTGGCCTTGAGGCTGCAGGTTCCCCACTCCACCTGGTACTTATAGAAAAACTAAGAACTTACCCCCTGCAAAGGCATGGGGTGAGGTTAGGTGAGGGGATGAACTATGGGAATACTGCATGATAAAGTGCTTTGCAATACCAAGTGAAGAATGCTTTTCTTAGTTCCCTCTAGAGCTCCCCTATTTCCTGTAAGACACATTAAAATAAGTTGCACAGCAGAGCAAGTGGCTAACTGCATAGCAGAACTCACTGTCAGCAATGATGTGGTGTTGTCTCCCTCTGAAAACTGTATTTGCCTTTGCAGAATATAGCAAGAAAAGCTGAAAGTTCAGTGGTAATAGTTGTACAAATGAAGCCCAAAAATGGGGTAAAAGGAAAGAGTAATGATAAAAAAGAACTCTGTTAGGTAATAGACATTTATTTATTTATTTATTTTTTTGAGACAGAGTCTCACTTTGTTGCCCAGGCTAGAGTGAGTGCCGTGGCATCAGCCTAGCTCACAGCAACCTCAAACTCCTGGGCTCGAGTGATCCTCCTGCCTCAGCCTCCCGAGTAGCCTGGGACTACAGGCATGCGCCACCATGCCCGGCTAATTTTTTACATATATATATCAGTTGGCCAATTAATTTCTTTCTATTTATAGTAGAGACGGGGTCTCGCTCTTGCTCAGGCTGGTTTTGAACTCCTGACCTTGAGCAATCCGCCCGCCTCGGCCTCCCAAGAGCTAGGATTACAGGCGTGAGCCACCGCGCCCGGCCAATAAATATTTGTTTAATAAATTAATACAGTACAATGTGAAATGGTGATTATAAGCACTGAAAAAGGTCTGTCAGTTTGTAAACACTTATTGAGCACCAAGTATGTCCCAGGGGCTATGGGATAGTATGGCCCTCGACTCGTGAAAATAAATAGTTTAGTGAGTGTCATCTCTGGATGATGGGATTACTGGTAACTTTTAATTTTTCTTTGTATTTGTATCTGGTTTTATTTAAATAATGGATCATAAAAGGGTTTTTTAATCGGAAAAGAGGTTACATTGTTTCTATTTGAGGATGAAAGGATAAAAGAATACTATTTTGACTACAACATGCACTTCAATTTCTGGCCAACAGGGAGTAACAGGGAATGGGGTATTTCCTCCTGCCTGAAAAAGTTAACACTGGTTTTCAAGTTGTTAGACATTAGGCAATGAAGGACAGTGATTCCTGAGAAATGGAAAACCAACAGAATTAATTTTCCCGAACTTACTGCCTTGAGAGAGGACACAGTGCAGACAGGGGAGACCCGGGCAAAACCTACAACTCTCTGAATTGAGGAGGTAGAGCTGAGAGTCTAGAGAGACCAAGGAGGCTAGAGTTTACAGGACAGATTACCAGAGATCAGAGAGCTGCAGAGAGAGAGAACTCCAGAGATCTGCATCATGTCCCCTTGGAGAATTTGGTAGATTGGTGTATGATTGTGTATGAATGTGAGTACACTACTCAAAGCTGGGGGGAAAAATGAGAGGAAATAGTACTTGGCTGGAAATAGTGCTTTTCCTACCAACCAGATTGGAGAACTCAGAGGGTCTTGTATTAATAGTGGGGAATAATTGTCCCTATACTAAAAACTCAGCCTTGGTCCCACCCATCAAGTATTAAAAGCAAGACCAAAAAGGATTAAACTGCTTCTAAGTAACTTAACTACATCCATTCAAGGAAGCTCAATGAATACTGAGCATAAGAAACATGAAGAAAACTATACAAAAGTTCATACCATAACCAAACTGCTCAAAACTAAAGAAAAAGAGAAAATCTTAGAAGTAACCACACATATACAAGACATGTTAAGTTCAGAGGAACAATCTTACAGCAGATTTTTAGTCAGAAATAATGCAAGCAATGGGGGGAGTAGGGGCAAAGGCAATATGCATAACCTTAAAATTTGTACCCCCATAATGGTGGTGCATGCCTGTAGTCCCAGCTACTCGGGAGGCTGAAGCAGAAGGATTGCTTAAGCCCAGGAATTTGAGGTTGCTGTGAGCTAGGCTGATGCCACGGCACTCTAGCCTGGGCAACAAAGCGAGACTCTGTCTCAAAAAAAAAAAAATTATTTCTATAGGACAAAAACACCTTTAACACAGGTCATTTGAACCCATTTGCAACTTAGCTATTGCTTCATACAGAGCTCCAGTTATTTACACGTTATCTGGATGAAAACTTCAGGTTTCAGTTTGTGAGTGTAGACTGTTTTCAGTGAGCAGCATAAAAAATATCACGAATTTCTAAGAATTAGGAAATTTTGCCACTATGCCAGTAAAGTACAGACCTTGGCAGAAGGTAGCCTTACTGTCATAAAATGTATGCATCTAGGACCCCATTCTCTTCACAGCATACCTTAAGGAGCACCAGACATAAAAAGAGAATCTGATCGTGAGTTCATTTAAAAAAGAGAATAAGAAACAAAAATCTCTTATAAACAAAATGAAACCCCAACTCTTACCTCCAGTGTCTTATCCAATTTGGCAGCTAGCCTTCCAATTCCATATAATAGCTGGGGGCTGACGGGAACCTCAGCTATGGGTCTTCCTGGGAGATAAGTCAGCAGCCTCACCAAGTAGCTTTTGATCTCAGAGCCACTATCTAGGTGGATAGAATGGTATAGTTGATATAGTCAACTATTCTTGAAAAAAGTTATCAGAAGCTATTCTGCCTATGATGTAATTATTATTGAAAAGAACAGAAATTATAGAACAAGAGAAAAAATGTGCTAACTTAAAACAACTTGACAGGATTCTATGAGGCAGGGCTGAGTGGATGAAGCAAGCAGGGAGAATAGATAACCCAACGAACACTGGAATTGGCCATTTACATATCAAAATTATAGCCCCAACTCTGCTGGCCTTAGCTGTAAATAGAAATTACCTACCATGGTAAATGAATGCAGAAACACACATTCTTTCATAAGTTTCAACTGAGGACAGTGAGAAAGAAATGACTTCCAGAAACACAGGCTCCTTCAGGGGCAAATGGGGTTGCAGCCTGTGCTTGCAGCCTGTGCTTGCAGCACAGGACAATAACCTTGCCTCAGAGGCCACAATGGGCCTCAGGTGTTTGAAGCAATGCAGAGCAGGAAAGAATGAATGAACAATTAATAAGAGAAAACACAGTCAAGATTTCAAACCTTTACAACAAATTCCAAGAAACTGATTTTAGGCTGCTGCTTAGAGAACTGAATTAGGTACATCTTAGCATTATAGCATTTAGAGGGGAAGCTAAAAACCCAACTCACAGATGAAAATTTGTAGCTTTAGGAATTTATTAATAAGTGGTATCCCCAAGGTTACATGTAGAATAATGACAGAGCTGGCATCTAAATTTCCTGATTTCTAGTCTTTGTGTTTTTTCTGCTATATCATAGTACCAGAATATACAGCTGGTCTGATGAATAAAAATATTTAATTATTTTTCTGGTTTAAGAAAAAACAAAAAACATCCCCCTGATTTCCACTAGTCCCCTTAGTTACTATGCATCAGGGCCTTTACATGCAGAAATTTATACCAGATTCGGCTCTAACCACTTCTGAATCAGAAGGCCAATCTCCACCTTAGTGATGCTGTGGCTTCTCCCACGCACTGAAAAAATAACCACGTCTACATTGGGAATTATAAACCTGTTACTGATATCTCTACTTGTAGCCCAAAGGCAGTACTGTACATGGATAGGCAACTGATTGTCAAGTGGGTCATCTCTTACCTACAGACACGAGAGAAGTTGTGTTGTCTCCTTTAGTTCGACACACCGAGGCTGTTGGAAACCCAGCTGCTTTCAGAAACACGATGATGTGGCTCTGTACTTCAATTAGGTCTGGATGTTTGCTGGTCTCAGTGTTGCTGATTTTGAGGACATATTCAATTGGGCCATCTGTACTGTCTTTGGTTCTTGAAATGTATACATGAAAGTTTTGGTCATCAAAGCTAGGAAGTGGCTGGATCTTGGAAACTTTTAACCCAAATACTGATTCCACTAATGCAGAGGCTTGTACCTCACTGAAAGTGGGTTTGGAAAGAGTCTGTGATTGTTGATCATCTCCACTTGACATGTCTAGGGGAATAAAAAAGCAAACCAGAAAGGGGGACATATAATGAATATATTTATTTAAATAATTTTTTCTCAAGATAGACCAATGTTTCTCTATACTGATTCTGTATTTCTTTTGATGATTAATTTTTACTTATAAAGTTAAAAAAAATCAGTAGATAAGACCAAGAAGTAGCTGTATTGGCAGGTGAATAAAAATCCATGTAAATAAAAATCCTCTTTTATTTTATTTTATTTATTTATTTATTTTTTAAACAGAGTCTCACTCTGTTGTCTGGGCTAGAGTGCTGTGGCATCAGCCTACCTCACAGCAGCCTTGAACTCCTGGGCTCAAGCGACACTTCTGCCTCAGCCTCCGAGTAGCTGGGACTACAGGCATGTGCCACCATACCTGGCTAATTTTTTTTTTTCTATATATATTTTTAGTTGGCCAATTAATTTCTTTCTACTTTTAGTAGAGACATGGTCTCACTCTTGCTCAGGCCGGTCTCGAACTCCTGAACTCAAACGATCTGCCCACCTCGGCCTCCCAGAGTGCTAGGATTACAGGCATAAGCCACTGCACCCAGCCAAAATACTCTTTTTTTTAAGAGAGGGCCTCACTCTGTTGCCCAGGTTGGAGTGCAGTAGTGCAATTATAGCTCACTACAGCCTCGAATTTCTGGGCTCAAGTGGTCCTCCTTCCTCAGCCTTAGGTGCACACTATCATGCCTGGTTGCTTTTTCTTATTTTCTGTAGAGTCAGGGTCTTACCATGTTGCCCAGGCTGTTCTCAAACTCCTGGCCTCAAGAATCCTCCTGCCTTGGCCTCCAAAAGTGCTGGGATTATAAGTGTGAGCCACTGTACTCGACCACCATAAATTATTTTTGAACTTACCTCCCAAACTGAAGGTATGTTCCCAGAGACAGAAGACAGACCAGGAAAGCACCTTGCTATCATCTTGTCCAATCCCTCCTCCACCCCATCAACTTTACAGGGGAAATTTAGGTCCTGAGAGGATAAGTGACTTGCCCAAAATTACATACTAAGTTGTAGTACTAACGTCTTCAGACTCTCAATCATCCATGACTATGTCCTTTTGACCATCAGTCTTGGGTTAAAAGATAAATTCAAATAGTGATCCTTTAGTCACAGTTTTGTAAAATTATAAGGATCACCATCTAGATTATCACATATATTTCTAATATAAAAATGTGGACTGATGTGCAAAGTATTGTGTGAGGCACTGTGGGAGATGAGGTCTCAGGGCTCTGTAACATTTGAAAAGTTAACTCACAGTCACAGATATCCTAAACAACAAAAAATGGAAAAATGGCTCAAAAAAAGTTATAAGGCAGTAAGTAATAAACTGACTTAATGCCAAAGAAAGCCTTAAGTGTAAACCTGAAATAACACTGAAGTGACTGAGTTTACCTTAATTTGTAAAAAATGTTTTCTACTGCTAAGAGGAATAAGGGCTTGAAATAAAGATCAGTTAAAAAAACAAAGTTACGTTTGAGTTTGTGACCATGGAAATTAATATGTGCCAAAACTATGACATGAAGAGGGGAGAGAAATTACTACAGCCCAAGGCAAGATATTCTTGAAAAGATAGATTTGAGTTTTTTATTTGGACAGACTGAGCAGAGGGGACTGTTTTCTTTCACTTGGTAATTCCACTCTCTGCTACACATACCTGGCATATTTCCTGAATATCCAGATATAAATGAAAGACAACGTGGGGGTTCTTCTGAACATCCTTCGGGAACCAAATATTTAAGGTCCTTACAATCTCACCTCCCTTTTTCCCAAAATAGTTTTATTAATCCTTCATACTAAGTTGTAAATAATTGATAACATCTTGTGGGGGCAGGGAGAGAGTTGCATTTTAAGGTCTGACTTTTTTTTTTTTTTTTTTTTGAGACAGAGTCTTGTTCTGTTGCCCAGGCTAAAATGCCGTGGTGTCAGCCTAGCTCACAGCAACTTCAAACTCCTGGGTTCAAGTGATCCTCCTGCCTCAGCATCACAAGTAGTTGGGACTACAGGCATGTACCACCACGCCCAACTAATTTTTCTATTTTTTGTAGAGACAGGGTCTTGCTCTTGCTCAGGCTGATCTCAAACTCCTGAGCTCAAGCAATCCTCCTGCCTCGGCCTCCCAGAGTGCTAGGATTACAGGCATGAGCCACCGTACCTAGCTTTAAGGTATGATTTTGATTGCTGTTCAGGGGATGCAGCGTTAAATAAAAAGAATCTCACAAACGGTAGCCTTTTGATGATAGAACTCAAAAGAGCTGTTTCTTCTGATAGGGAAGGGGCACAAGAGAACTTTCTAAGAGGAAAATGTTCTATATCTTGGTTAGGCTCTGGTACACAGTCGTATACATTTGTCAAAACTGCACTTAAATCCTAAGTAAACTAAGATCTGTGACTCCTGCTGAATGTAAAATTTACCTTAAAAAAAAAAAAGAGCCCTTCTGAGAGATTGTTTAAGACAACAAAGGATGGATCTTAGGACTTTCTTGGAGCTCCCAAAATCAGGCCAAATTCCTGTCAATGTCTAAATATCTTTGGGTCTATCACAGCAAAAGTGCAACTTACTTCAGTGTGAGGAAGGGAATAAAATTCAAGGAGGTGTACCAGGGTTCTCCAAATGACCCCCCTCCCTGTGTCAGCCCCAGGACGATAGCCTGATGACTCCATAAACCCCAAATGCTAACCACCCCCATGCCATCCTCCATGGCCTTCCCTGATCCTCCTACCCAAAGTGATTTCTCCAGCCTCTAAATTTGCATAGCCCTTTGTGCCACTGGTTGGTTTCCACCACCTGTTATAGCTATTGCATTCTTGACAATCACTTTTCATGTTTACTTTCTAAGCAAGTCTTTGTTTTCAGAAGCAAGTTATGCTGTTCAGATTTTGTTCACTAAAGATATTGTGACAAAGCCTAAATAGAGTTTCAAAACAATCTTTACACCTGAAACTTCTGGGAACCAGTATATCCTGTCATACTGTATTTGGGCTTAAGACTTCACATGGAATTTTAACATTCCTTCTGGAGACATATAAACTGGTGTAATATGAACTGATGCATTAACTCCAAGATGGAATCCTGGAGTAATTTTCCAACTCCCAAAGCGTTAAGGATCTCAGAATCATTCTGAATTGCATAGCAATGATAAGTTCTTAAAATTGGAAGGAACCTTAGAGGCAATTGGTGAAGGCCAATCTCCTTTCAAGTCCAGAAGATATTCCTATAGCACCCTTGAATGGGGCTTGTTAAGCCTCTGTTTGGAGAACTCTGTTTTCTACAGCAGTGCAAAGCAATGTTGGCAACTCTGGCTGTCAAAAAACAGCCTGATATAATAAAAGTTGCTGTGCTGACAGAAATAAGACATATTTTATTCCTAGCTCTGCTACTTAACCTCTGAAACTTTGGACTAGTTATGTCTCCTCTAAAAGAGAGTTGGACTAGATCATCCCTAAAGTCCCTTCTAGCTCTAATATTCTATGCTTCAAAAGTTCTTTATTTTTGAGCTTAAATTTGCCTTTTCTCTTTGTAAAAGGACTCCAAATCATAGAACTAATGGCACAGATCAAGTCAGCTCCTGTAAGTAAATAAATACAAAGAAATGTGCTTGTTAGAAACGTCAGTCTTAACCAAATGTCTCCGGGGGGGGGGCATTCAAATCCTATAGGTTGTTGGTCTATATATCCTGCCGACAGTATTTTACTTAGAAAAGAAAAAACAGCCCCCAGGAAGCAAGTGTTTTCTAACAGCAAGGTTATGGCAGAACCTCACAACCTTTGTCCTACAACCAGGGGGGCTGGACCTTAAACTTTGCACTTTGTGCAAGGTACACTAGATAAGAAATAGAATTATTCCCGATTCTTTCCTGTTCTCCATTCCCAAAGTGTTACAAAGCCCAGTACATTCTATCTTAGCATGTCTTCCAGATCTACCTTTCTTCTCCTGCATCCCCTTTCGCTGTGTCCTTCCAAGGAATTGTACCCAGTAAATCTCTGTACTACAAGCATCTGGCTCAGTCCCTTATTTAGTATTAAATAATGAACCAAGTGTTGCCTTCACTCCACAGGCTCACTAAGCTGTTTACTCTCAAGGGGATCACGAAACAGCAAGGCGGTGGGGAATGTAGAATCCGTAGTTTTTCAAAGACAACAATGCATTAGGTGCTCTAAGGGTCTTCCTGCTGGGTGAAGGAGAAAGAGAGGTGGGACAGCCGGCTGCGGAAGGGTTGCTGACCCAAGAGTCAGGAAAATAAGGGAGAAGGAGGGCACACAAGTCAGGCTCACACGTTATTATATCAGTGAGGTCTCGCGAAGCCTCAGAAACTGTGCCCACCGGATCCCCAGCCCCGGGAGCCAGGGCCGCACCTTCCCCTGCCAGCGTCCCCACGCGGATCCGGGGATGGGCCCGCAGGCCCTCGCGTGCCACGCTCTCACGCTGGGGCCCAGCCCCGCTGTGGGGAGGGGGCTTGCCCGTCATTCGCACAGCGACCTGAGGCGCTCTGGGCTCCAGACTCGCAGAGAGCCTCCCTGCTCTCGGGGGCGTCCCTCCCCACACCGGGGCCTGAGGTTCGCCCCTGCTTCCCGCCTCGGCTCACCAACAAGGAGCCGACGTCCGGGGCGGATCTCGACCTCTGGCAGCCACCTGGGTAGCCTGGCCGCGTCCCAGCGTTCGAGCGGAGAAGGCGCGCCAGAGACACCGGACCTCCGCCCGCCCCGCCCCGCCCCGCCCCGAGCCCAGAGCCCTGACTTCTGATTGGCTCCTCCAGACTGCCCGCCGCCCAGTCAGCGCAGGGTACTGGAAGGCGGGGCGCAGCGAGGCCGACCAGGGCTTTTCCCGGCCCCGCCCAGGAGTCTGGGCACAGAAATTCAGAGGTCGGGCTTCTGATTGGCTGTCTGCAGTCCCGCCTCCACCTTCTCTCAGTGAGTGTCCCAGTCAGAATCCGGCTACCTTTTCACTAACTGAACTTCTTGTTTTTGATTGGCTCGCTGAGTTCCACCCCGCCCCTGGTTGTGAGTAGCCATTTAGCAGGCTTTCGGTCTCGCGGTTCCGCCCAGTCCACGTAGTCGTGGAGGTTACGTGGGCTCCTGCTCTCAGCGCTGTGAGTATGTGGCAAGGATTCTCGTCCTCGTTTCTCTTCCTCACGGTCCCTCCGCCGTCTTCTGGGCGTGCGTGTGCCGGAGGCCGCCTTCCAAAAGCGCGGCCCGAGGTAGACTCGAGCCCATCGCAGCCCCAGGAACTGCGAGGGTCTGACAGGAGGTTCTGACCGTCGGGTGGCGGCGTTCCGCGCGGGACCTAGCTTTCCCTGGGCCCGGAGAGTTCGAGCCCGTAAGGGTCTCCTTGGTCGCACAGGTCTACACGCCCCTCGTGCTGACAGGAAACTGAAGCCTAGGGGGCGCAGAGGCTGAACCGGACCCTGGTCACCAGTTCCCCGCTTGGCCTCGCCGCAGCACCACTCTTCCCAAGCTATTTAATTCAATATAGTAGAAGGTAGAGGTTTCCCAGGGAGGAGAGGTCGCCAGAGTTCAGGTTTTGTGTGATGAATGAGTCATTTACACTGAGAAGTAGAATTGGTAATCGGGTCAGAATCCTTATTTAGGTAGTGCAATCAGTGGATTCTCTCCCTGCAGGAAAGTCTGCAGAAATCACATGATTTTCAGAATGCTGCATGGGATTCACGGGAAAACAGCCAGACTAATTGGCTGATTTTAATTGTCAAGGACGCAAAGCTCTGTTAAGTAACTTGATGCCCTTCTCCAGCCAAGCAGGACACTCTACTGGAGGAGAGTAGTGTTCTGGACACCGGTCCACTCATGCCTGCAACTTGGTCTCTGTTTTTGCCAATGCTCGTACTACCCTTTCTTTTCCGTCAGAATATAGCACTTTCTGGTTATCTATAGTCATCTTGATTATCTTGGATGATTCAGGTTATCTATAGTCATCCTGATTATCTTGGATGATTCTCAAACCTCTATCCGCCACCTGTTGAGGGAGGCCTCTATTTTCCATTTGGATATGGATCTTACCTGCTTCACTCCTAATCTCCAAGGAGCAAGGTTGTTTTTTTATAGTCCCAGGGGGCTGTAAAACTAGGTTGTCAAAAAGTAATTTTGGGCCAGGGGCGGTCGCCTGTAATCCTAGCTCTCTGGGAGGCCGAAGCGGGCGGATTGCTCGAGCTCAGGAGTTCAAAACCAGCCTGAGCAAGAGCGAGGCCCCGTCTCTACTATAAATAGAAAGAAATTAATTGGCCAAATAATATAAATATATATATAGAAAAAATTAGCCGGGCATGGTGGCGCATGCCCTGTAGTCCCAGCTACTTGGGAGGCTGAGGCAGGAGGATTGCTTGAGCCCAGGAGTCTGAGGTTGCTGTGAGCTAGGCTGACGCCACGGCACTCACTCTAGCCTGCACAACAAAGTGAGACTCTGTCTCAAAAAAAAAAAACAAAGAAGTAATTTTGAATTTTCTGTAACAAGAATTGGGATCCCATTGACCCCCTTAGCCCCCTCTACATGCTGTTCCCTCAGGTAGCTCCTGAATTCTCTCTACTTCTCACTGTTCCACCTTTTTTTTTTTTTTTTTTTTTTTTTTGAGACAGAGTCTCATTCTGTTGCCAGGGCTAGAGTGCTGTGGCGTCAGCCTAGCTCACAGCAACCTCAAACTCCCGGCAATAAGTCTGCCTCAGCCTCCCAAGTAGCTGGGACTACAGACATGTGCCACCATGCCCAGCTAATTTTTTCTATATATGTTTTTAGTTGGCCAATTAATTCCTATTTTTAGTAGAGACGAGGTCTTGCTCTTGCTCAGGCTGGTTTTGAACTCCTGACCTTGAGCAATCCTCCCGCCTTGGCCTCCCAGATTGCTAGGATTACAGGCGTGAGCCACCGCACCCGGCCCACTGTTCCACCTTTATTGGTCTTTTTCTGCTCCTTTTAGGATGAGGGAATGGGAATGAAGGTTGTGAAAATTGAAGACACAGGACTGATGGTTACATAACTGCCTTCACTGGCATGTGTCCATGTGTCCATTTACTCCCTGTACCTCCTTTAGAAATACTATACTTTGTAAATTGCTTTTTTCACTTTAAGTGAGCATTTCCTTGTTTTAAGAATATCCTCATATGTCTCTGCAGTTAGTCTGATGGGTTAAAAAAATATATCCTCATATGTAAATCTTTTGTGCATTTTAAATTGTCTTTAAGATAAACTGCTCAGTCATATTACTGGGTGTAAGAATGAACACTCTTAATAAGGCTCTTAATATATGCTGCCAAATCATGTTTTTCTTCAATAATGCCAACATTGGATGTCATGATTAAAAAAATTGCACCAAGCTAAGAAATGTTAAGCTGGGCATGATGGCAGGCACCTGGAGTCCCAGCTACTCAGGAGGTTGAGGCAGGAGGATCGTACCTAGGAGTTCAAGACCAGCCTGGGCAACATAGTGAGACCTCATCTCTAGGGGGAAAAAAAGAAATGTCATTTTTGTAGTTGTTCTTCCCCACCTGACCAGTGAGGCATTTTAAGTAGTGGCTCTCAAGACAGCTGTGATCAAAAATGAGTGAAACACAATAACAATATGCAGTGGGATTATACACGATTTTATATTATAAAACAATGTCCTATAAAACATAATAGTTTGGTAAAGGCATGAGAATTGCCTGAAGCAGGAGTTTGAGATCACCCTGAACAAGAGCCAGACCCTGTCTCTACAAAAAATAGGAAAATTAGCTGGGCACAGTGGCGTGCACCTACCTATAGCCCCGGCCACTTGGGAGGTTGAGGTAGAATTGCTTGAGTCCAAGAGTTGAGGTTGCAGTGAGATGACAATGCCACTGCACTCTAGCCTGGGCAACAGAGCGAGACTCTGTCTCAAAATAAACATGATAGCCAAGAACATGATAGCCCAGTAGTTTTATGATGTTTAAAATTCAATGCTAACACCATTCAAAAATTTAAAAATTCGGTGACATGTCATCATACAAGCAGATTTTGTGGGGATTACATATACATCTGCTTTTGCAATATATACATTTTCCAGGTATACTGAACACAGGCTTTGTAGTTTAGTATTTTGGAAAAATTATCAGCCAAATAACTCACATCAAAACAACAGAGTTGACGTTAATGTACAATTAAAAGGTAAAACTGGCATCAAGTGAAAATTCAAACCATCTAAATGCAATACTGATGATCCTTTAAGTTTCCTGCAACACTGGATATTCAAACTATGGGCAGTGTTTATGTTGGTATTAGCCTTTGTAATGCAAACTCGTAATACTAAATTGGAATCCTTAGAAGGCTTTAATAATGTGCCAGTTATGGTTTATGAATGCCGAAGGTTAATAAATGGACCTTAATCACTTATTTAGTTTATTAAGAGTGGGATTTACCTTTTTAGATAAGTGGGGAACCGACCATATTTACAAAACATTCCTTTAGGGCTCTAGAGACAGACCTGTGGTCTGTCTGGAGACCTGTGGTCTGGAGTTCCTAGCTCCAGATAGCTTGGTCCTGTGGCATAGAGGCACAGGAATACTTAACACCTTTATCCTAAATCATCCAGAAAAGACCATTTCCTCTTATAATGCACAATTCATAGCAGACTTCCAATTCTATCCTGAATGTTCACTTTAACAAACTACCTCCATAATAAAAGGTGGTTATGTGCAGGGCAATTTGTGAAAGGTCCAGTTTATCCATTCAATATGCATTAATGCTTAGTTGTACAAAAGTTCTTTAAGAGACAGATTAGGGAGAACCAAAATCAATGGTGATATGCACACATACAAACAATAAGGATGCAGACTTCAGCTTGAAATACCTTTTTTTTTTTTTGAGACAGGGCTTTGCTATGCTGCCCAGGCTGGAGTATAGTGGCTATGCACAGGTGCAATCACAGCACACTACAGCCTGGAACTCCCAGACTCAAGGCAATTCTCCTACCTCAGCCACCCAAGTAGCTGAGATTACAGGTATGCATCACAAAGACTTTTTAACCAACAAAATTTCAGCCAACAGGATGGGTTGTCTGGCACAGTACAGAGTATTCAACTCTTGATTTTTCAAGATAAGGCTGCCCAGTTAGATGTTATTTGCACAAGGGATCCTGCTTTGGGTGACAGATTAGTCTTTTCAATTCAAAATGTGATTCTTGTGAATCTAATTTTCTGTTGAACAACCCTTAAAATAGCATTCAATTTTATTGTTTAAGCTATCCCTATTTCAAGGCTTTACTTCGATTTTCATTCTCACTAGCCCCAGAGTAGAAAGGAACTGGTAGATACAAGGATGATAATGATTATGGTCCACATTTTGGCAGTCATTATTAGGAATGACTAATGTCTAAACATTTAGATAACATATTTGCAGAGATATTTCTGGATATCATCCCATTTCTTTTTAAGTCATGGTGTTTTATTTTCAATTACCACAAAATATTTTATAACGAGTCAAATATGATAATACAATTTTCTTTATTAAAAATAATTTACAGCATCAGTAACATATACACAATTGTCATCAACTGAACTTGCCTCCAATATATTTCCATACAATACTTAACATTATTGAACTTAAAACTGCTACACTGTTTTGTTGGCTTTAAATAATAGACATTGATTTGTAGTTACTTGAGATATATGGTTTCATAGTCACGTACTACGTGTAAAATTGATATAAACATTGACACTACCACCCTTTATGGGGGAAAAAAAAACCACTGAAAAAGCCAAAGTCCATCCCCTTCTCCTCTCTTTATTACTCCAAGTCAAACTAAGATAGGGTCAACATCCAGTATCTTATTATCTTCCAAACCTAAAGGCAAAAGAAAGGTATCTTTTAATTCAACCATAGAAAAATGTCAAATAATTTCTCCTCATCCTGTCACTCATCACTGAGAGAAGACAAATGCATACAACACTGTTACCATATATGCAATAAACTGTGATTCTGATGTAGTCTTAGCTTTACTTTCCTTTGGTACAACTGCAGTTTGATTACCAGCAAAAAACTGAGCAATCTGACTTAGAGGGATTTTGATACCTCCCACTCAACTGTCAGCATGGAGATAAAACAGGAAATAATGACAACTGTCATCTTATAAACTTTTTAGGTATAATAATGGTAATTCAGTGGCTGGATGACATTTTAATTGATTTTTACAGGAGTAGCAAAAGCCAAAGGTATGAAAATGATACTGATATGTAGCATAATGTTTTTAAAAGATTTTTTTAAAATGCTGCCATAGGCCGGGCTCGGTCACTCATGCCTGTAATCCTAGCACTCTGGGAGCCCGAAGTGGGATAATCACTCAAGGTCAGGAGTTCAAAACCAGCCTGAGCAAGAGTGAGACCTACTAAAGAGCGAGTCTCTATTAAAAATAGAAATTGATTGGCCAACTAAAAATATAAATAGAAAAATTAGCTGGGCATTGGTGGTGGATGCCTGTAGTCCCAGCTACTCGGGAGGCTAAGGCAAAAGAATCACTTGAGCCCAGGAGTAGTTTGAGGTTGCTGTGAGCTAGGCCGACACCACAGCACTCTAGCCCGCACAACAGAGTGAGACTGTCTCGAAAAAAAAAAAAAAAAATGCTGCCATTAGTAATGACCTTTGAAATTGTACTCTAAGCTTACAACACTGATTTGCTTTTTGTTGTTGTTGCTGTACTTCCTTTTCACAACATTTTTTTTTTGGGGGGTAACACAAAATTATCCAGATATAGTCAACAAAGGATGTCAGACAGACAATAAAAACCAACAAATGCCAGATTTTTTCAGACACAGCATTTGGATAGAAGCAGAATTATAAGGTATACACATTGGAACACATATCCATGATTCTTTCCCAATTTAAAATCATGCTTATCAAGCTTTTGGTTCATTGTATATAAACAAAAATTATGAGAACCTTGACTTTGTCCTGAAATAGAAGGTGTACTTGTATTAATACTGAACTAGATAGACTGGAAATGTAAATGTTTAATTCATACCTAGCTGGTTTTATTATTATCTCCTGGATCAGCTGTTAATGATTAATACCTATGCCTCTGCCCAAAGACTATTATAAATGGTATGCCTTCAAAGTAATATCATTTTTTCAAAGCACATAACAGGTATTTAACATTAAATTTGTAAATTCTCCATCCCTAACTCATGTTTTCATGTAAATTAAAAACACATGCACTGACAAATATATAGCATATATCAAGAACACAATATAACTTTAAAGTATCAAAGAATATATCTATAAAAAATTTAAATAAAGGGGAAATTGTTTTGTCAAATTCATTTGCAAAATTGTTTGCAAAATCCAAACACATATTTGCAAAACATTTCAAAAGATTGTATGATTATGTGCAAAGTTCTCAGTGGTCTTCATCCACTGGTTTGGTAGTTTTAGCATTTTAGCTTAAAACAAGTAATTCTTTACTCTGCAATGTGAGCTAATTCTGAATTGCATTTAACTATGTCATAGAAAGGCCTCCATATGGAAAAAAAATCACTATTAACTTTTAGTCCACTAAGTTTAATTTCATAATTTTTAAAAGGTATAGAACCTTCTGGAATTAATTATTCAACTTTTCAAGTTGCCAAACATTTTTTTTAATATAACATTTGATGTGGACATACACACATATTGAAAATATATGGTACTCAGACGGCAACAACTTAAGTGTTTTATCCTTACAGTCAGCTTTGGTTAAAACAGTAACATAACAAAATTAATAGAACCATGCAGGCAAGGTAAAATAATGATTCAAAATGACCAGAAATCAATTTAATTAAGAAACAGCAACATTTAAAAGATGCTTAGGGTTGAACACCTATATAATTTAGGGTGGATAATTTAAAAGTCTAGAGAAAATCAGTTTAGTTTAATGACTAAATGAGTTCTCTTTACTAACTATAAAATAAGTGTGGAGTTTTGGTTAATAATATCTAAAATATTAGGTTAACCCTTTGCACTCGGATGTCGAGTGTGGATAATGTCGAGTGGATAATGAGTAAAAAGCAAGCGACTCCAAAGGGTTAAGGGAAACTGTAGTACCACATAAGGTAAGCAAAATAATCTAATCCATTAATATAATACCATTTGGGGCTTGCCAATGGGTCACAGTGGCAAATTACTGAAAAATTAAAAGGCTGCACCATATGTGATACATATTTCCATTGCTAGTACATGGTACCACATAATCAGTTGTATTTTGCCATGGTCTATCTTCAGATGTGGAGGAAACCCTGGCTGGATTGTTGGGACATAATGATTGTGATCTGGGGCAGGTTTTATCCCTTGTAGTTAGGCTGAGACCGAGGATAAACCTGGCTTATATGTCAAATTAAGAATGCCAAATGTGTCCAGCTGAATTCTGAAAAGGAATCAATAAAAGTCCATTTATAAATCAGAGTCTGATGTCCATAATTTTAGAGTCTTTATCTGGCTTCTTATATTTCAATCTGCTACTCTTAACAAACAAACAGCAGTACACAGTTTTATAGGTGCAAAACTAAACAAACAACTTCAGGAAAGGTTACTCATATGAGAATCTTCAAAACAAGTTCAAATTCTGCCTTTATTTACAAAATGGTCTGATAAAATATCCCCCCCACCCATACTTACAGGTCTCTTCCACAACACACTTCACACATTGATTTTAGCAATGTTAATAGCACCATTCGTATATTATTTAAAATCAGGAAGATTTCATTTCAGTCACTATGTTGATTCATAATCATTTACATCCATGGATGAGATAAGTTAAGTATATTGGGACTATCTGCAGCTCCATGGTAAGGATTCCTGGGTCCAGCACAAAAGGCTTTTGCAGTTACCAGTTATGAAAAGTATCCATGGTGAGTAGATACTATGAGAATTTCCGTGCCACAAAGTTTAATAATCCTCCGTGTTTGTACAATGTTATTTCCACATCATTTTCAAACGAAGCAATCACGCTGAATACTTTTCCAGTGCTTGTCTTTAAACAAAAAAAAAATCTTATATGAGTGGTAAAATACAAGTGTTACTTAGTAGTTAAGAACATTTGTCTTCATATTTAATGACTGTAACAGTCTGTCTGATTTTCTTGGTTCTAATTTCATATATTCTGATTGCCTGAAATCCTTCTGCTGCTTGAAAACATCTGAGATAACTGACCATGAACTTCATAGACAGGTAGAAAAACAGTTATTTTCATCCCTAATTCTAAATAAGTATACTACCTAGAACATCTACATCAAAGCATTTAGATTTTGACGTTAATTGTGGAAGTTATACTCACTACTCATATTCATTTTACACCAAGTATTCACTGCATATGGCAACTCCTACTCTTTTATTTTGTTAGTTGTAAAATCTGTGTTGTTCTAACCCTGAATGCTCAACTTTGCCTTCTCTTTGGAGTAGTGTATACACCTGGGTTAAAATTAGCTCACCAAGAGCTGAAAACTAGGAAAAGGAAGTTGACACATGTAACTGGAAGTCAAGATACCCCTCTCCAAGTGTTTTTTTTTCTGGATTAAGCATCCAGTTCTTTTTACTTTTCCCCAGAGAACATAAACTACATTAACAAAGGTTTAAGAATGTAAGAAACAGAGTCATCTTAAAGTAGAGCTTATGTTCACTAAGTGACATTAGAATAGAATACAATTTATAGCAATTGCTTCTTACTCGATTTATAACCATTTCTTTGAGTACAGAATACACAATCACGTATTTAAGAATTTTAGAAATACCTGAATATTTAATGTAATCCCAGGAGACAGTTCTTGAGGAAATGTTAAAGAAAATGTTTCTCTGCCAGAGAGGCCCAAGGAATCTGCATTTTCTCCCGGAAGGAACTGAAGTGGAGCTATGCCAATTCCAATCAAATGATCTTTGTGTATTTTTTCATAACTTTCAGCCAAAACAGCTTTTACACCCTGTAACAAATGTGCGTTTTATTTCCTCCAGTCACTTGTAAAAGTTGATTCACTGAGCATTTAAAGGGGGAAAAAAATCTACTTTGGCCTTTATATAAACACTTTTAATCTAATACCTCATATGAATCATGTTCTATCAAAGTATTTATATAAGGCTTTCACAGATTTATTTTTATTATTTTTAAGGCGTTTCCTAAGTTATTGTGACTCCCCCTCTGCTGCTCCAGGGTTAACTACTACCCCTGTCTACCACATAGTAAGAGCTCCATAAATTGGTGGCTGTTTTGACCTCAAATAGGGCTCAATAGGATTGCTATTCAAACATGGCAGATCTAACACATGTGTTCTTCAACACTCTCTTGAAATGCCACTGAAATAAAGGAATAAAGAAGGTATAAACTCACAGCAACAAAAGGAATAGGATGAGAGAATTCTATAAATATTAATATTTAGAAGATTGGTAACTGACTTAGACAATGTTGAAACTACAGAATGATAAATTGAAATCAGAGTGATATCAGTAAGGTCTGAGTCAATCTGCAACATAAAAAAAACCCAGGAAAAACTTAAGACTCAAGGCATGAGGTTCTCGAGCACACTGGGAATACTGGTTAGAAGTCAAGTCTATAAAAAGAAGTAAGATCTCCAGCCCAATTCCTACTCCAGAAGAGCAGAGGTTTATTCTCTGGAGAAAATGAGCTAAAGAGGTCTAGACTTGTGTTTTGCAAATTTTTTTCATTATTGCCTACCTCAAGAGCCTTTTAAGACAATTTTTCCTTAATCATGTCTTCCTCCTCTGAAATTTTGATACCACATATTGTTTATCTGTTTATACTATATGTTTACCTGTACTTTAAACATAAAACAAGATTTTTTCCTTTTTTTTTTTTTACCAACTAAGAACCAATTTTCATCCCTTGGGAATGCCATTACTGCTGCTGATATTGCATTATCTAGACTGAGGAACACTGGGCAAGGGGAAGGCTGGGGTGGGTTAGAATACCAGATTGGAAATAGGGGAATTAAGTATAAGTCTGCATCCTGAATGAGTCTACTTCCTTGAAGAAACTGAATGGCCTCAGAGAAACTACTTACAGATAATGACATATAAGGCTCTCTCAATGAAAATGGTAGCTTATCACCCAATCATCTATAGTAAGTACCACCAATTGACAAAACCCAATTCTCACCCACAGCGTGTAATCAGTTTTTTAAAATCTAACTAAATGGGCAGCCAAGGATCACCCATTATATGAGGAAAGCCTCCAACATAAAAAACAGAGACTAAGTAAATTTTCAAAATAAGAAGAATCTACACCTATAATTAATATCTCAGAAGGATAAGAATTTGGCTTATTCCTATAAGTTCTCAGAATATTTGCATTTTAAAGGAGAAATTAGATTCATGCAACTAACTAGATGAATACAAAATATTATCTAAGATCACTGAAAAAAACTTCAAATAAGCATTTAAAAATCCAAATAAGCAAAATAAACTTTGACAGGACATTACTGACCAAAGGGAATATGTAAAACCCTTTGAAGCTTAAGACGATAAATTTTAAGAATCAATACCAGTAAATACGGTCCTTTGGCAGCCCAGTCTCTTGAGTTTCCCGAACCATATTTTTTTCCTGCTAAAATAATCAGCGGGACACCTTCTTTCTGGTATAGCTCTGCAGCCTCAAATACATCTAGCTGTAGATTAAAACAAACACAAAAATCTTTAATACAAAATTTTGATCCAGTTAACAACTGCCTAAACACTATGTATACATCCTTACCGA